GGGCTGGGGGTGGTACAGCCGCACAGCCAGGAGGAGCGCCTGGCACAGGGACACTGGCTCCCAAGGCCACCGTAATCTCGGCCTAAGGAGCACCCAGAAACCTAGGGGGAAAGGCCGGAGCGTTCAGCTGCAGGGTCCCCTCGCGTCCTGCGAGCACCTGTGCCCTGGCGCTGACGTGGCTGGAAGCGTTACAGCCCGTCGGGATACCCCGCCAGAGGGGTGTAGCCTGGGAAGCGTGTCAGGCCCAGTCGCTAACACCTTCCCCGGCAGTTTGCCTGTCGCTATGGCCTGGGCCGTATCAGTCTCCAGGGGACACCATTCATCGCCCCGGCGCCATTGTGAGATTAAATATATAACCACGGGCCGCGCCCCCACCCCCAGGGGGATCGGAATGCCGGTGGGGCCCATTGTTCCAGCCCGCCCTGCCGTGCTGTCCCGGGGGACGGAGCCAGCTTGCAGGACAATGGCGAGCATTTTCTTTCCACCCTGGAGCTCAACCTGGCATTGTTTGAAAGTAAAAGGCCTTGGTGGGGCTGACCCAGCCAGGTCACCCGGCTGGGAGAACGGCTGAGTCTGAGCAGGGCAAACCTGGCCTTTGTCTTGCGGCGTAGAAAGCAAACAGGCGCCCACAACCCCACGTGCTCCTGTGAGCACCCTAAACCCCCCGTGGGCCGCTTGTTAATGCAGCCTGCCCGCGTATCGCCCGGCGCCATAGGCTGCGGGGGTCGCACCGCATTCGGGGGCATGCTTCCGGGGGTGCACGCGTGTGCCCTGCGCGCCTGCAGACGGGTGCGTTCCGGGCACATCCACCGGCACGTGTGTGCGCCCAGAGATGCAGGGCTCCGTGTTGGCATCCTGTGAGCGCCTCGTGTGCACGAGCGCGTGCGTGGGGGGTGTGCACAGACCGGGGTGTGCGCACAGAGCCATGCCAGTGTCTACGGGTGCATGCAAAGTGCACCCGTCCCGGGGCATGCACATGCGTGCGGCGTGTGTACGTGCGCTTGAGCTGCTGTTAAGCCCTCCCTAATTGGCCGATGCAATGGTAAATATTTGCGGTTGGGAAAAGGCAGCACATTCCATGAGCGCTGCCTGCGTGCCCGGGCTGCTGAAGAGCGAGGGCTAATATTTGAGGGGACACACCCTGCCTGAGGGCGGGCCGCGGCACTCGGGCCAGAGTTCAGCTCAGCTCCCCTGGCTGTAGCCACTGCAGGGCGTGGCCAGCCTGTCCAGGCGGGCTCGGCCGATCGGCAGTGTAAACGGGGGACGGGGAAGTGAGGCACCAAACCGCACTGAGCAGCATGTGTGCATCCCCGTGTCAGGGCCCGTGGAGGGCGGGGAGGACAGGGGGGGGGAGCAGGGCAGAGTTCCAGGGAACATTTCACTTCATCAAAATGGTCAGTTCCCCGCCTCCCAGGAACGTGCGGCGTTAGGAATCAGCCCGTGCGGGACTGCACCTGTCTAGGCACGTTCTCCTCTGACCCCGCAAGGATGAGCTGTCCAGGGATGGGATGAGTAGCTAGAGGGGGAAGGACGGATAGATAGGGCAGTGCGGGGATGGAGATGGGGAAGATAGAGATGGGGGGAGATGGGTAGACAGGACAGTGGGGGGATGGGTAGATAGAGGGGGAAGGATGGGTAGACAGGGCAGGGGGGGGTGGGGAGACAGGGCAGTGGGGGAGGGGTAGACAGGGCAGGGGGGGGTGGGGAGACAGGGCAGTGGGGGAGGGGTAGACAGGGCAGGGGGGGGTGGGGAGACAGGGCAGTGGGGGAGGGGTAGACAGGGCAGGGGGGGGTGGGGAGACAGGGCAGTGGGGGAGGGGTAGACAGGGCAGGGGGGGGTGGGGAGACAGGGCAGTGGGGGAGGGGTAGACAGGGCAGGGGGGGGTGGGGAGACAGGGCAGTGGGGGAGGGGTAGACAGGGCAGGGGGGGGTGGGGAGACAGGGCAGTGGGGGAGGGGTAGACAGGGCAGGGGGGGGTGGGGAGACAGGGCAGTGGGGGAGGGGTAGACAGGGCAGGGGGGGGTGGGGAGACAGGGCAGTGGGGGAGGGGTAGACAGGGCAGGGGGGGGTGGGGAGACAGGGCAGTGGGGGAGGGGTAGACAGGGCAGGGGGGGGTGGGGAGACAGGGCAGTGGGGGAGGGGTAGACAGGGCAGGGGGGGGTGGGGAGACAGGGCAGTGGGGGAGGGGTAGACAGGGCAGGGGGGGGTGGGGAGACAGGGCAGTGGGGGAGGGGTAGACAGGGCAGGGGGGGGTGGGGAGACAGGGCAGTGGGGGAGGGGTAGACAGGGCAGGGGGGGGTGGGGAGACAGGGCAGTGGGGGAGGGGTAGACAGGGCAGGGGGGGGTGGGGAGACAGGGCAGTGGGGGAGGGGTAGACAGGGCAGTCGGGGATGGGTAGACAAGGCAGTGGGGGATGGGGAGATAGAGAGGGAAGGATGGGTAGACAGGGCAGTGGGGGATGGGTAGATAGAGGGGGAAGGATGGGTAGACAGGGCAGTGGGGGATGGGTAGATAGAGGGGGAAGGATGGGTAGACAGGGCAGTGGGGGGGGGGGAGGCAGGGCGG